CTCCGTACCAATTTTCTCTCTCTTCTTCCTCTTCAGTCTTCTCCAATCATCGACAATGGATGAGATCAGATCGGAGAAAGAAGAGAAAGGTAAACGTCGCCGTAAAGCCATTTGCCGTAAAACCGGTGACCACGTCCACTATCCACCCACGCGCCTAACCAAACCGACGCGTCCTCCTCACGCGCCATCACCAAACCTCAAATCGAGCTTCAGATTCCCCGACAAGAAGCCACGTTACGGCAAATGCAGGAAGAATCAAGCCGCTGGTCTCGGTACCACCGCCTACGACGGCTGCGGCGAGTTCGTTAGCTCCATTTCCGGCGAAGATTGCGCCGCATGCGGCTGCCACCGTAACTTCCACCGGGAAGAAGAAGAATCCATTCTCGAAAGATGCATAAGATCCGGCACAGTCGATGAGTCGGTCCTTGAAATGCTTAAGATTTCAGAGTATCAGTTTCGGCAGATCTTCTGCTCGCCTTACGGTGATCGTCGCCGATCTAAGGGAGAGGAGGATTTAGTGGAGGAGGAGAGAGTGAAGAGGTTGAAGACGAAGTTCACGGCGGAGCAGACGGAGAAAATGCGGAGTTACGCGGAGAAGCTACGGTGGAAAGTGAGCCCTGAGAACAGAGACGAAGTTGATGAGTTTTGTGTAGAGATTGGAGTTAATCCGAAGAATTTTAGGGTTTGGATGAATAATCACAAGGACAAAAACTGATCATCACTACCAAACCCAATGCTCTGTTTTCTTCTTTGTGTGTGTCTATGATGATGATTAAGTGTAAGGCGAAAGCTGAAAAGTTGAGTCTTCGTTTCTCTTAGCTTAAATATTTTGTTGTATTTGTATTCCTTTTTCGAGGTTTCCACGAAACACTTGCATTAATTGTTGGGGTTTATTACCAAAGTAATCTACTCATCCCTTTCACAAAGATTAATCATTTTTAGATTCAATAAATTAACCAAAAAAATTCTAAAATTCCAACCGAACAAGACAACGAGTTCAAACTAGGAAGAGACACTTCCAAGGGACAATCATTAAGAACAATGACCAAAGAATCATTACCATATCCGAGATTGAACTAAAGTTTCTACAAGAAATAGTAACCAACGTTGCGCCACTCATATTGTTCAAGTTCCAAAAACAGGACACCAAATGATACATCCATAACAAGATTTAACCGCGTCTGAGGAACAAACGGTAAATAACAAAGCCGACAACAGAACCATAAAACAGTGATCAAAATGGTAAGGAGCCCTAAATAACAAGCGATGATTAAGAAGATGCTTTAGAATTTTGCACTTGATGCGCACTTTTTTTAACTGATGATTTTCAGAGTCTTCTTCGTTAACAAACAACAAAGAGGCCGGTGATAATCTCTGGTGACGGCTTCAAGAAACCTTGTGCCAAGAAACTGTGGTATAAAATAAGGTGCAAGGAGCATCGCCATTAGAGAAGTGAAGAAGACAGACACAATGTGAACGATATTTATAACCAACTGATTTTTCTTTATCGTAGTCTATAAGGCAGCAACGAATGCAAATGGTCATTAGCGCGATGGAGAGTGCTGGCAACGCCAAAATGGAAGGCTTTGTGAGCGAGTACTGGATCTCCAAATTATGCAAAGATGAGAGCAAATATTGCTACAAAGCTTTGCATTGAAATGATATCCAAAAGCACAAAAAGGGAGAAGTAGGAATCCTGGACAAAACGGCCATGCCCGCGTTTGGATCCAAGATGTTAAATCCTCCTGGTACTGCAATAACCGCCCCAAATGTTACAGTAGCTACGAGAGCTGCCACCAAAAGAAGAGCATTGACACAACCTTGGTATTTTTTACTACAATTCCTAGCTTCTCTGACCTGCTTCTTAGCGTCATTCCACATGTGGGTATCATTCTAAAACCTCTTGATAAGCTTTCGCGCGATAAGACCATCATTGTCATTCTCTGTAATCTCAAAAAGATTAGTTACAAAATCATGAACACAAAATAGGTTTATTTTAAAGAGATTATCTGAATAATTTACCTCTCTGCAATATCCATAGCTATCAAGCCCTCATTGTTCTGTATGCTAAGGATTTTCTGAGAAGTAAACTCAATAAGCTTATTAGAGTTCTTGGATGTCAGTTTATGGTGGCTAAGTGAATAGGTGTGTTCCTATCAACATCTTGCTCCTCAATGAGATGATGCTTCTTTCCATAGAGTTTATTAATATACTTCGAAATAGAATACCCAACTTTTCCACTTTTTGCTGCAATGTGAAGAATGTTCTGACCTTGTTTGTTAAGCACTTTGAAGATGAACAACGTTTTACTAAAATGGTTTTAGAATCTCTTGGACAACTTTCAGATGACCCTTCTCTACTGCCATATCGATTGGGAAGGATCCATCGTTGTMACACTCATACACATTTGACGTTAATCTGTTTAATAGCTCGCATATTCCTTCATAGTATCCTACAGATGCTCTAACTGAAAGACAATTCTAGCCTTCTTCATCTCTCTCGTTGATAAGACTTGGGTCTTCAGTGAGAATAATATCAACAATCTCTACACACCACAACTCAATTAGCCTTTTCTTGAAAAAAAAATCTGAAACAATTCAAATACATTTAAGAAACAAGTAATCAAACCTCTGTTCTTGGCCTTTAGAGCTCCTTGCACAAGCGATTTTCTCCCTTCCAATCGCGAGGCTAAGTTCGAGGTTTGGCCTTGGGCGTTATCATTCAAAATTGCTTTCACAAGGGAAACAACTCTAGCCTCTACAGCCAAATACATGGGAGATTTCCCGTCTTTATTCGCTAGAAAAAGAGCACGTGGATTCGCCTTTACCAGACATAAAGAGATTTTCATCTTGTGTCCCTTCAAGGCCGAGTGCAGAGGAATATCTTCACTTATGTCCTTCACAACAAATATATTCAATATCTTTCTCTTCCTCGGACAATTCAAGTGTTATTGCAGCAACAATAGCTTGAACAACATCTACATGCCCAGCACGAGCCGTGACATGAATTGGAAGCTGATCCTTCGAGTTTGGCTCCAAGAAAAGACATGGACATTCAGAGGCTATGCTCTTGACTAGTTCAAGATGCCACAAGCGGCAGCAAGATGAAGAACAAAATCTCCTTGACACTTCAGACAAGCCATTGGTGTTCGGTTGCTTCTCATCATACTCAAGGACTCTATGTCAATCAGTGCGTTTGTTGGTGACTGCATAGAGGAAGCTGGTGAGGATGCGAAAACAGTAGAGGTTTTGGTGGATTCAGGTTATAGTGTGACTCATGGGACAAAGCTCATTACCACTCCAATGTTGTCTATGTGCCCATGAATCCAATGGTAAAAGACATGGACATTCAGAGGCTATGCTCTTTTACCATTTTAAAAAAAAAAGAATTGCTATAGAGCATAGCCTCTGAATGTCCTAAACATTTTCTCATAAAAAAGATAATTAAAATAATATTAAAGACTTATCAAACTATAAAAGAGATTTTGATTTTTTTTTGGAAAAAACTTTCCAAGTTTATAACAACAAATATAGTTTTCTTTTGAAATTTTTTTTGAACGCAAGACAATTTGAAAGTAATAAAAACATTTTTTAATTTGAAAGCAACAATTCTTTTTTTAATCTATGTTTTATTTATATAATTTATGATTATATATTTTAATTAAAATATTAAATAATTTATTTGTATTCTAAATTCTACTTAAGATATTCGGACAAGCCAAATTTAACATGATTTTTTAACTCTAATGTATTAAATTATTAAATATTTTGATTTGACACATTTACATATATAAAATAATTAAATGGTAAAACTAAATTTTTAAAATTCATATTATTAATAAAAACGATATTATTGATCAAAAAAATTAACAACAAAAGAATCAACAACAATATCCATAATAAAAATCAAAACAACTACATATCTCACATTTTTAAAAGCTAAAATTAAAAAAAAATTACATAAATAATTTACCCGCGTTTACGCGGAAGAATCACCTAGTTTAAAATAAATTTAACCGTTTCAACTTCATTGTGGTCTTGACATCTGCTCTTGGGTCTTTGATTCTCTAGGATATTTGATTCTTTGTGTCTTTGATAATGATGGCTTTAACCCCATTTTCTTGCTCTCGAGTCAGCAATTTGGATGTGAACTTCAAGTTATTAAATGTCTTCAAAACCCTGTTTTTGGTCATTGGTTAATCTAATTGTTAGTTTAATAAATTTTAAAGAGTATTGCATATGATTAAATATTGATAATGTTTTTTTTTAACTTAAAAATTCTTCTTTTAAAATATTGATAATGTTAGTTACTTAAATCAATGGATTATATCTCTATAGGTTTCAAATTATTCGTTTTGGTCAATTATTTTTTTTTAAAAACTGGCACGTCAAAAGTGAAATTTTTTATTAATTCCAATGAAACAGTTGATATCGAATGGTCCATTTTATTATGGTACGTAGGCGTGCCCAATTTTAGTGGAAATTGTTTTTCGGTTACGCGGAGAAGCTACGGTGGAAGGTGATCCCTGAGAACAGAGTCGAAGTTGATGAGTTTTGTGTAGAGATTGGAGTTAATCGGAAGAATTTTAGGGTTTGGATGAATAATCACAAGGACAAAAACTGATCATCACTACCAAATCCAATGCTCTGTTTTTTTTTCCTCCTTTCTTT